AGCAGCCCCTCTCTTGTCCCCTCTTGTTCGCCGCTACCCTGCTACGCCGTTTGTACTCGACCGTCACAAATAAGCCACTCAGGCAGGCCAGAGAGGAGCCGCTTGCATCACTGGTGCATCTGCTGGATCACTGGTGCATCTGCGTGCCAGATCTGAACGCCTTTGTGTGTCTTGTGTGGTTTGGTGTGTTGTCAGTGACTCGCCGTTGAGTTGACGCTCGCCTCTCGTTGACGCTCGTCGAAGACTCACACGCATCAGTAATACAACAGACGACACGCACACTTTCGCCTTGCGCACATCTGGTCCGTCTTTGTCGCTGGGCAGTGTTGGCCAAGACACTCAACGCCGGCGACAAGGTCGATATCTCGGCCATCCCATCCCGGATAGCGGGACGTGTGACGGGTGGTGGATCGTGTGTGTGAAGAGGGCGACGCTGAGATAGCGTGTTGCTTGTAGCGCGTGCAGAACGTCGTTTCGTTTCGTGTTGCTCGCCCTCCCTTTCCTTGTCTCGCCTACTTCTCGCTGTCTACTTGTCTTGCATCTGAGCGTTGCGCGCATCGTCACATATACGTGCCGCATCGTTTGAAACTTCCCGCCTGTTGTGTGCATCTACCTTCTGTATCCGTGCACGTGTTCGCCTATTTTAAGACTCGCCTGTGCTGTCTCTGCGTGTTCCGTGCTCGCCTTGTGAGTGTTTCGCTCGTCAGTCAGTCAGCCAGTGCACTAGTTTCTCGACGCACGCTCTGACGGAGCAACTTACTATCTGTAGTAGAAGCGGACACACGCATCGCCCGTGTGTTCCACTCCCCTAACTGCGTCTATATTAGCGTTCATCTCTGGTGTGCCTGTGTTGGATTCGATGAGGGATGCGGACATACGACTGATATCCATGTAAACCGCTGTGGCTGACTGTCATCTGTTCATGGGTAGTCAGTCGCTGCGCAGCTAACTTACACGCCCCCCGCTCTCTGCACATCGACGGGTGACACTATCGGCCCATATCTGCATTCATCAGCACATCACACTCCATCTACCGACCCTATCTTCGCCACGCCAGCACGACTATCAGCGCCACCATTCGCTCGGACTGACAGGCATCTTCCATATACACACGTGCCGCTTCCTACTCTCCTCTGAGCCAGGCACGTTTGCCCTTCGTCTACAGCTGCCTGAGTTTCTTCCGCCTTTGACATGGTCACGCGCGCGACTCCCTTTATTGCGCCGAGGCCTCTGCATAGCTGAGCCGTTTTGCTGAGCATGCGAGGGGCGCAACTGAGCGGACCAGCCGGCAGATTGTTGGTCGTGGGTCGCGAGAAGAGCAGGTGCCGCCGATAGTCATCCGCCGATATGCAGCCGCAGTCGCCGAGCCTCGCATATTCTTGCTCCTCTGACGCCGATATGGACAGACGCCAGTTTGGCTGAACGCGACTTGTGACTGAAGCGCAACACACGCGCGTCGTTGCTGTACTTGTATCAGTGTCCCGCCGTACGCCGGTGGTCCTTTGATGGACCGCCTGCACGCAGATTCACGCACCGAGCAGCCAGACAAGGTCGTCAGCTTGGGTCCATCGTATTCGTTATGTCTCTGACCTCACCTGTGCACGTTGAGCGATCGACTTCGTCCACAAGCACCGACTCTGAAGCACTCACATCTGCTCGCCGCCCGCCTGGGTGCCCTTCTTTCTGATGTGGTGTTTCTCTCGACGATGGGGGAGGTGCGGTCGCCAAAGGACGACGCCAACTTCTCTGCACAGTTGGGAGAAGGGAATGTAGCGCATACCTGTATGATACATGGTCACATACCTACATCGCCAGAGTGGTTTTCGCCATTGCTGCTGCCCTTGGGCAGTGAGTCGTCGCCGCTAACGAAGTCGCCCATGTGTTCGTCGATCCGAAATGTGTCCGCCTTCTCTCTGGTCTCCTGCTGACGCTGGAGTCGTCGCCGAGGAGCCAGCTGTCGAAAATGCCAGTGTGGGCATGGACGGCGGGCCGCGGGATGTCAAGGCAGATGAATCGCCTCGTTTCGCTAGCTCCGAAGAGCCCAGCGGCCCGCCGCCCGACGCGCCAATGGAGCCATCCATCGGCTCCCCAGCTCGCCCTGTTGCCAACGCGCCGCCAGAGCCATCCGCAGAAGCACCGCCTGTCGAAACAGAGAGGCCCATGACTGATATTCCTGACAGTCAGGTCCATTACCATCAGTACGGGACGCCACTGCCGTCAGCTGACGAGCCTCCTGCTCTCCAGGACCAAGGGTCGCCATCGCCTGCACACATGGACGCACCAATCCGCCCACACGCCACGTTGCCTTCCGCCTCTGATCTACCCGCCAGTGGCCGGCCAGTCATCCCGCTTATCCATTGTGGGTGGCTCGCCAAGGGAGACCTTGTCATCGCCTCCATCATCTGGCTATGACTTGCCCGCCGACGTGGACGCACCCAACTCCGCACCACACACACACGACATGGGGCAGGGCAGCGCCGATTGCAGTGAAGAGTTGCCCGACCGCCCCGACGTCATAGACATCCTCGCCAAGAGAGAGAGAGGATCCGTAGCTGAGTATCGCGTGGTGCGCCGAGGGTGTGAACCGACTTGGGAAAAGGAGAGCGAGATCTCTGACCCCCACGCCGTTCGTGCGTTCGATACTCGCATGGCCTTCGACCTGCACCAACAGAAACACCAGAAGCGCCAACAAAGGGACGACTGAGTCTCGCTTCGCTCCTTTCTCGTCGCCAGCCTTTTGACTGGGACGTGTGATCTCTCTCATATGCTCGTCTGTGGCTCTCTATCGCTCCCTTTTCTTTCGATGACTCGCCGAGCGCCGCCCATTCGCTGAGTGTAGTCGGATGAAAGCGGTCCAGCTGTCGCCGAGGTAGAGAATAGAGTGCACCAAATGTGTCAGTCCGCTCGATGGAAGAGGGAAGAGAAGAAAAGCGTCACGCCTTGGGGGTCGTCGATGATCCGACGCGCGTCTTCACACCAACTCGTCTCGGTGATGGAGCTGCGTCTTGCTGGATGCTGCTTGCCGCCGGCAGCCTCGCCCGCCCAGCAACTCATAGATCATCTCCCCTTGGTGCTGATCTGCTTGGACACTCCGCCCTTGACACCATCGCGTTAGACAGGCTTGTAGGCACTCGCCTCTCTCGATCGGTCGGCTGTCTGGAGGTCGTATGCTTCCTCCGGAAGTGATTTCGGCTGCACTTTGTCGACTTGGGATGCGTTAGACGCGGGGAGTTCGAAATAGAGGGACGTGGCATGAGGTTAGCCTTCTCGGGTGCCGTTGCCGCCTGACGAGAATCGCTAGCTCTGTACGCGTACGCGCGCATGCGTGTCAATTCCCCCGCCTCTGAGAGTCTACACGACTTGCTTTCTTTGTCCTTTCCACCCCATATCCCCTCTCGTTGACCGCAGCTGAGTGCCCGTCAGCTGTGTGTTGTCGCCTGTTCCCTCACGCTCTGCCGCTTACGCCAACTCGTGCCCTCGCATCTATGGCCATCCTCAGCCAGCTGCGCACGTACAAGGCTCGACTGACCCCTGGGACCTACTGTACGGTCATCGCCCATCTCGCCAAGTATCAAGCGCCCTGCAACCTGGTGCTCGACTACGAGACCTTCCCGCCTGACAGAGAGGTCGACGTGCCCATCGCATCGGTGAACGAGGCCGTCGACATCCAGACGATCCACCAGGACTGCAAGGGGTGTGTGGCGGGTTTGTACATGTGCCATGGACGTGTTCGCCACCTGTCTGACTGGTACGCCTTCATAGCCATCGCCCTCGCGTTTGAGCCTACCGATAGCATCGCCATCGAGGTTGCCGTCGCTGACAACGGCGTGGCTGACGCTCTCGAGGAGATGCTCAAGCAGATGCGACGCCTGAATGACTCGTACATCTGTGAGGGGTACACACGCCGACCCAACGGATACTACAACTGTGTGTTGTCAGCCAGCTTCACGCCTTGCATTCGCCCTGTGGGCATCGCCAACGAGCCGTTCTCGGTGACCGATACGATTCGCCTCGCCGAGTCCCACAACATCGACATCAAGTGCCTGTTCATGACGCCTGAGGGACTAGCTGAGGCAGGGATCGACGCACAGGCCGATTATCAGCTGTGTGCTGGTGACTGGTGATGTGTATCGACGCCGTATTCGCCAACAGGGAATGTCGACGCCGCACAACACACGAATTTGGGCAAGGATACATGGATGGTATCGTGTGTGTGATCTGTCTAGATTGCCCATTCGCTTCGCCGACTACTCGTTTTTATTCGCCTCCTGTGGGTTGATGCGTCGCCCTCCGCCTCGAGTTCAAAGAGGATATCCGTGCCTCGTTTTCGAGTGGCGGGGTGGTGATGCGAAGCGGACCCTTCGCATCGTGATTCTGTCTATGTGGGACGCATCGTCATGGCTGTTTCGAGGCACGTCTATCCGTCCGCCAGGTGCGCAGCGCAGAGGCCACACGGATGGATGGATAGATGGATGATTGGATGGGTGCCTGGATGACGCATATGTGTGTGCACACGCCTGCCTATCTATCTCGCCTGTCTGTCCCTTCGCCACTGTGGGCCTCCCCGCAGCCCAGTGCCCGTGTCAGTCGCCCGTATGCAGTGCACGACATGTGTCCATTCTGTGCCTGTGCCATGCGCAAGCGCATAGAGAGATACGTGCTTGTGTGACTGACTCGTGTGTGTCATCGCCATTCGCCCATGTGATGGTACATTCATGGTGGATGGATGTGGGTATGGGAAGGAGAAGCTAGAGGAGAAGACGGAGATCCTCGTACACGCCAGTGTGTCTGTCTGCCGTGATGTGTTGCGTTTGCCATTGCTTTGCCGTGGCAGTGTGTCCATGGAGCCACAGGCAGCCAGGCATACGTGCAGTGCAGACGAGGTTTATGTGTGATGCATAGCCGATAGCCGACCTAGATAGAGCTGTCAGGACGCATGCAGCGCCATGGTTGCTTCGTTTGTTGAGCTGCATGCTGATCGCCGATCACTGGCTGCTAGGGTTGAGAACCCAGCGGTATAGCTCGCCTATCCGTTTTAGACCTGGCTTCCAGCTTGATTGCTTGATTGCGTATCTGCTTCGTCAGCCCTTCGGCAGCGTGTTTG